GGGGGCTGGACCCCGGCGGGCGCCGGGCAGGGGGCCGCGGCTGCGAGAATTTCGGGGTGTCTGGAAATGTGGCAGCGGAGGGGGCTGGGCGCAGCCACCCTGTCCCGAGCAGATGTTCTTACCTCATCGTGGAGCTCGTGGCCGGGAGCCAGGGCTCCTGGGGCCGGTCCAAGTCCTTCGCCTGGGGGTGGGAGGCGGGAATGCGGGGCACGAACGTTCCCCTCCGGGTCCGTTTTCCAAAAGCGTAACGGGAGCTGCGCCGAGCCCCCGGCCTGCCTGACCCTGTGTTCCCAGGGGGGTCTTGCGCCCCCTTGCCTTCCCGCACGCCCCGGAACCCCCAGGAGAGTTCTTGGGTTGGGGCTTCGAGCTGTGAAAGGAGGGGAACTCGGGCAAGGGTAGAGGGGCCCTTGCTGACTGCCCTCTCTCCTTACTCCAGACTTGCCCTTACCCCCCCCTCCCCTCCTTGGGGATGGCGACGATGCGGAGGGCACCCTGGGAGGTGCCTTTCCACCGCCCCCTCCTCCGATCGAGGAACTGTTTCCCCCTGCACCTCTGGAGGAGGAGATCTTTCCTTCCCCGCCGCCTCCGCTGGAGGAGGAGGGAGGCCACGATGCCCCCAGTCCCCTCCCACCACAGGTATGGAGGCCTGGGATGGGCAGCTTCGCAGGGACACCCCAAGGGAAGGAGAGGAGGGTCCCTTCTTCTGACCCTCCTCTGCACCTCTGTTCTGATGGAGTGGGGTGGGGATGGAGGACTGGAATGGGTGCCCTGACCCCTGATCTCTAGCCCAGGGAGAAGGTGAGCAGTATTGATCTGGAGATAGACTCTTTGTCCTCGCTGCTGGATGACATGACCAGGAATGATCCCTTCAAAGCCCGGGTAAGGAACAGGCGAGGAGGAAAGGAGTAGGGACAGAACTTGGAGGGGCGCCCCCCCCCAATGGCACTTCTCTCCCCTCCGCCTTCCCTTGCAGGTGTCATCTGGATATGTACCCCCACCGGTCGCCACTCCATTCATTCCCAAGACCAGTACTAAGCCTGCAGCTGGGGGCACGGCACCCCTGCCTCCTTGGAAGGCTGCCACCAGCTCCCAGCCGCAGCCCCAGGCCAAGCCTCACGTCCAGCTCCATGTCCAGCCCCAGCCTCAGCCTCAGCCTGTGCCTTTGGCTAATAGTCAGCCTCGAGGTCCCCCGGCCCCATCTCCAGCCCCTAAGTTTTCTCCAGTGACGCCCAAGTTTACTCCTGTGGCTCCCAAGTTCAGTCCTGGAGCCCCAGGTGGACCCGGGTCACAGCCCAGTCAAAAGTTGGGGCCCCTTCCAGCTCCCTCTTCTGCTGGCACAGGCTCCCCTCAGCTTCCCAGCTTCACCTATGCTCAGCAGCGGGAGAAGCCCCGAGTGCAGGAGAAGCAGCACCCAGTGCCCCCACCGGCTCAAAACCAAAACCAGGTGAGGGAGAGCGGGAGGACTAGGCTAAGACCTGGAGGCTGGGGGCAGGAGGGTAAGTCAGGAGCCAGAGGAGGAGGCCCAAGAGCAGTCCAGTGCGGGTGGTGGGGTAGGAGTTTCCAGCCTCTCGGGGTGGACTGCTGGGACTGTGGTAAGAGAGAGATCTTCTGGAGGAGGGCCTGGCAGGGCTGGGGGGCTGGGTGGGGCCTGATGGCGTGGGAGAGCAGGATAGGCTGTACATTAGAAGGAGGATTTGGTGGACCTTCCTTTGCATCCTGCCCCAGAATGTTAAAGGTGAGGGATGAGATCATCACCCGTCCAATCTTGGTTCTTCCCCCGTCTTGGATTCTTGAGTTAATCTCGCTGCTCGTCTGAGCGCTCTCACCGCCCAAGGGCCCATCTGGGGATAACAGTCGCTGCATTAGTCAACAGTGGCTGAGCCAGCTTCTGCCGAGTGCCAGGCACTGTGCTCTGTGCTCAGGATGGAAGAGATCTCTCAAAGAGGTTAAGCCTGAGGGAGCTGGGTGGACCTGGGATAGAATTTCCCGTTCCCCATCTCACAGGACCCTAGGCAAGTGACGTGAACTTTGAGCCTCCGTTTCCCCATCTTTCAAATCACACTATCCACGCTGTACAATGGTTGTGAAGATTAAGGAGCTAACGCATAGAAGGGGCTGGGGTTTTGTTGATCTAGCACATGAATGCTCAAAATAGAAAAGTTATCATTTTTGCCTGACCATCCCTGCCTTCTAGTTCAGGAGATGAGAGCTTCCGAGTTGAAGGGACCCTGATAGTCATCTAGTCCAACCAGCCACAGAGTAAACTGATGAGAGGAATGTCTGTGTCTGTGTGTGCAGGCACAGGCTAGGAGGATATGCAAAAGTGCCAAAGCGTTGTGAAGAATCCTGTGTTACAGGAACTCCGAACAGGGAGTCCGCATGGGGCTGGCAAGTTAGGAAAGGCGGCATGGCGTTGGAGTGCTTTGAAGGATGGTGGGACGGAAGAATCCAGAGAGAGGGAAAGGCACTGAGGTGGGAATTGCATGAACAAAACTCAAGGGCACGAAGACACCAGGGTGTTTGGAGAAGAGAAAGTAGGTTATTCTGGGACATTATAGAGCTATACAAAGGTGGATGGGGGCTTGAGGGAGGAGGAAATGAAACAGCGCACCGCACGAAGGGAGCCTGAGTCCCGGCGAGTCCCTCAGGGTTTTTGAGTGGCCTGTGGCTGGGTCAGGGGACTGATGACAGCCATGCTTTTGGAAGCTTTTGGGAAGTGTTTCTGGCAGAGGTGTGGAGTAGAGGTAGGAGGTGAATGATGTGTAGGGATTCGCTTCTGGATCCCACTGAGAGCAAAGGAAATGCCTCCAGGACGTGGTCACTTATCAGCAGTTGGCAGAGGAGGGGGGAGGGGTAAAAAAAAATATGCCTGGGTGTGTTGGGGAATGACGGTATTGCTGACAAAATAGAGAAGTCCAGAAGGGGAAATGGTTTGGACGGGAAGAGGAGGGGTCCAGCTGTCAGCCTGTTGAGCAACTCATTCCAGGAGGACTTTTCCTTCAGCTGGAACTGTCATTCAGTTAGAAATGGAGAACTGGGTTTCAGGAGAGAGCCCTGGACCCGGGGTTGTCATGTGCAGCGGTACTGAAGCAGGCAGGGCTATGAGGTGGCTCAGGGCGCGCTTCCGCAGGAGGCGCTGAGGGCTTGGGAGGAACCCTGGGTGATGCTCGTGTTGGTCAGGTGGGACGGGAAGAATGCAGGAAGCAGGAGGGGCATCATCTGTCAGGGTGGAATCTCAAAGGATAGGAAGTGGTGGCTGAGGCCGCTCTCCAGTGGGGCCTTGAGGGGGATGAGAACTAAAATAAGGCCAGAGATTTGACTCTGGTTGTCCTCGATGGCCGTGGGGTGGTCCGTTTGTGCCCTGTGGTGGGGACGGTGAAAGCAGTTGAGAACCGAGTGGCGGTGAGAAAGATGGAATTGCTGCATTACCCTGCTGAAAGAGGTTGGCAGGGAGGTGGACTACGGGGGGGGGTGGGGGGACACACGACGACAACGGACTGTGTGTGTGTTTCAAGTTAGGGGAGGAGGGCTCAGGTATGTGTGTGAACCAGGAGGAAGAATCAGAGAGGAGGAGTCCTGGAGGAGAGGTGGTGACAGCCCCCTCTCCCCCCGTGGCCGAGAGCAAGGACAGTGTCACCGCAGTGTTTTCGGTGGAGCTGGCTGGCTTCCATCTTCTCAGTCATGTAGGAGATGAGGTCATCGGTGACAGTGAGCGAGGGGCGAAGCAGTTGGGGCTGGAGGACATGGAAAGGTTTGGAACAGCTGCTGTGGGGAAGGTGACTGACAGCCGAGCTGGGACCGGAGGGCACGGAGGGCCCTGCAGTGTTTTGTGAACTCGCCCCACTTACTTTCTGCAGCTCAGAGGCAGAAGCAGGAAGTGGGTGGTGGCATGACCTGGGCTTGAGGTTGGACCAGATAAGCGATGGTGCCTGACGGTGGCAAGAGTGGCTGGGAGAGCCTTGTAGAGAGAGATGGTCAAGGGGGCCAGGCTGGTTGGGGTGATGGGGGGATACACATGGAGAGCGTTGAGAGGCCAGGAATGAAAGCCTTTCTGTGTAGGTTCCTACAGCGGGTATCAATGGGGAAGGGGGAGAGGAGGTATGTTTGGCGGGGCCGGGTCAGAACCGTGAATCTCAGGTCCAAGGTGACCCATGGTAGAAGGTGCTTGAGATGGAGGGGCATTTGGAGCCACTGGGGTTGAGCTAGAGGTCTGAGTGCCATGGACGTTGATTGAAGCTGTGACACAGATGCTGGCAGGCAGAGGGAAAACGAGCGGATGGAGTGTGCCCTGAAGGAGCGTGGAAACCCACGGAGAGCTGATGTATATGAATAGTTCTTACTTCAAAGAATGGAACAGACTTTTAAAGTGGCACCAGAGAGCAAGGGCTGGCTGAGTCCCTTTCCTCTGTCCCCAAGGGAAAGGAAAATTGGGAGAGGAAAGGTGATGCTTCCATTGCAGAGGGGACTCAGAGGGGACACAGTTAAGGGCAGGAGGTGGCAGGAGTCTACCGGGAAAATGCCTAAGAGCTGGGGCTTCCGTGAGTCTGCTTCCCAGGCTGGCTACCGATGGGGTGAGGGTGGAGGGCCCCGGGCTGAGGGCAAGATGGCAGTGCGGGGAGGTAGCTGGGCGACAGGCTTCAGGTGTTCGGGGAATGAAGGCATGGGCAGTCAGGACATTCAGTGGCCACAGTCGTGCGTGGACTTACCCAGTAACAGAAGACCCACCAGTGTTTCTGTTGGAGCATTTCATGGCACTGCTGGTGCAGGTCAGATGGCCCCTGGCACAGACAGACCTCCTGGTACTTCTCAGGTACTTCTCCTGCAGTGCCCCTAACCTCACCCCGTCCCCATCCCTAGCTCTCTCAGGATCCCCTAAATAGAAGGGGTGAGCTGGCCTAGGACAGGCCCTTCTCTGAGGCCTACCGGGGAGGAAGTGAGGTCAGGTAGCCTGGAACCCCTCTCTCTGGAGGGACCTCAGGACCTCTGTGTGGGGGGCTGGGGGCTGGGCTGCTGCAGACAGCTCTGAGGGTTTAACCTGTGATTCCCGCCTGTGTTGTATCCTCACGCTGACAGGGCTGCTCAGCAGCAGGCGGGACGGGTAGGTGTGTGTGCACCTGGGTTCACACGCCGTCGTGTGCCGACCTCTTCTGTGGGGGGCCATGTATGCGCATGCTCTGTGGAGTTGACGCGTGGCCTGGTGTGTTCGGTGCTTCAGTGACCTGAGCTGCTGCTATGTGTGTGGCCTCCGTCCGCTCAGCCATCCTGGCCTGTCTGTGGCTGCCCAGGGGGGTTTGGGCAAAGTGGGTGGAAGGGGCATCCCCTCCCCCTTATTGGTGTGGTGCTGGGGTTGGGGAGGGAACTCTCAGGGTCAAACCTGAGCGTCTGGGAAATGTGGGTGTGAGGTAGTCCTTGGGAGAGGGTGGATAGCTAGCTGGCTGCGGAATGTTCTTGAAGGGGGTGACCCTTGAGAGAGTGAAGAAAATGTTGGGGTTTCAGGTGTGCTCCCCTGGGGCTCCAGGGCCTCTGACCCTGAAGGAGGTGGAGGAGCTGGAGCAGCTGACCCAGCAGCTGATGGAGGACATGGAATATCCTCAGAAGCAGAACGTGGCCGTCAGTGGTGAGCCCACCGCCCACCCGTTGGGACGTCTCCCCCTCTGTGACTGTGTGGCTGTCGACTCCCTGTCTGAGCCAGCTGATCCTTTGCAAGCTTATGTCCTCCCTCCTATTTATTTCGATCTTCCCTGCCCTTCCCAGAGTCCTGTGGCCGGTGTCACCAGCCCCTGGCACGTGCACAGCCCGCAGTTCGCGCTCTGGGGCAGCTGTTCCACATCACCTGCTTTACCTGTCATCAGTGTGAGCGGCAGCTGCAAGGACAGCAGTTTTACAGCCTGGAGGGGGCGCCGTACTGTGAGGGCTGTTATACTGTGAGTCTGGGGGGGCCGGGGGCAGGGGCTGGCTCAGCCAGGGGCTGGGACGGCTGTGGGGCAGACCTGCTGCTGGGTGCCAGTTCCCAGCCAACCTCCCACTGCTACCTCCTCAGGACACCCTGGAGAAGTGCAACACCTGTGGGCAGCCCATCACTGACCGCATGCTGAGAGCCACAGGCAAAGCCTACCACCCGCAGTGCTTCACCTGTGTGGTCTGTGCCTGCCCCCTCGAGGGCACCTCCTTCATTGTGGATCAGGCCAACCGGCCCCACTGCGTCCCTGACTACCACAAGTGAGGACCCACCGTCCCCTTCTGCGCTCTGTTCCGGGCCCAACTGTGTTTTGTCTGCAAGCCGCTGACCCCCTGACCCCAGGACAGCTGCAGACCCCTGGCCTTGCTTTCTGGCCTCACAACCTATCTATAGATGGCAGAGACCAATCCATCTGGACTTAGTTGTCTGGATGTCCCTAGGCCTGGGTAGCGTGTCTTGCTGCTGGCCAGTCCCCGGCTGCTTCTGGGTGTGGTCTTATATTCAGCAACATGTGCTGGAGTGACTTCGTTTCACACACGGGCCAGGTTCTGAACGTTCCTTTGGAGATCGGCTTGTTTGGAACTCAGGGTTCCCCCTAGAAACAGTATTTACAAGGTGGCTACTTGCTTAGGCCTGTGGCAAAATCCCGCAATGTGGCTAAAGTGGGGTACAAGGAAACTGCAGGCTCTGGCTCCCACCCTGTCTGAGGTGTGCGTTTTCAGGATTCCACCTTGGGCGGCCAGGACTTGATGTCCCTCTGTACGTCCCAGCAGTCAGGCAGAGCGACCGGTGTGGTGTGAAGGGTGGGCTAGGGTCAGGGCTGCAGGGATGGGACGAGAGGGGCACCCCTTGGTGTGCTTTCTGCAGGCACTGCAGTGTGGATATGGCAGGGGGTCCTGGGTGGATGAGGCTTTGGGAGGGGAAGGTGGGAAATTTCAGTTAGGGTGGCCGGTCTTAGGCCTTTCTGTTGGGCTTTCTCCACCTTGAGATGTGGGGGAAAACGGGCAAAGAAGTGTGCCCGTTGCCACGCCACCACCATCTCCTCTCCCTGCGCTCCGGCGAAAGCCCAGGTACCCCTCGCCCCGTCCTGACCCGTGCCCCACTTGTCGCCCTCCAGGCAGTATGCACCCAGGTGCTCCGTCTGTGCGGAGCCCATCATGCCTGAGCCTGGCCGCGAGGAGACCGTGCGAGTGGTTGCTCTGGACAAGAACTTCCACATGAAGTGCTACAGGTGTGAGGTCAGTGTCCCTGTGGCCCCCAGGGCTGGGAGGTGGTGGGACGCTGCTCACTGACCAGGTGGTGGACATGGCCAGCCTGGAGATCGATGTAGTTTTGAGGGTGACCAGTGGCACAGTCCAGGCCCGCCCAGCCCAGATGCTTCCATCACTGCAGGAAAGGGGGGTGGGGTGGGGTGTTTGTGGGGTCACTGAGCTGCGGATAAACCAAGAAAGGGGACTGACCAATGGGAGGGGAGGGTGCCGTGCTTTGTTGTGGCAAGGTTGGGGTCTCAGACTAAAAAGAGAAGAGCCAGAATGGAGGCGAGACAGGTGGGAGTGGCCCCACATCCTTTATTGGGGTGGACGCTTTGGAAGCAGCTCCGCCCACTGCCCACCTTCCTGCGGGAGAAGACTTGGGGATAGGACTGGAGTGGCTGTCGGCGGGGGACCGGGGAAACCAGACAACGAGGACGCCTGCTCTGGGCCATTACTTGACAGGCACTTGGCCTTCCTCATGTAAAAATGGGGGTGTGTGGGGTGCACAGGGGCCTTTTCCACCAGGGTGTTCTTCCTGTTCCTCCCTCCCAGGACTGTGGGAAGGCGCTGTCCATTGAGGCGGACGACAATGGCTGCTTCCCCTTGGACGGCCACGTGCTCTGCCGGAAGTGCCACACTGCCCGAGCCCAGACCTGAGTGAGGACTGGCCCTTTCCACCGCGAGTCCATTCCCCATCAGCGGACCACCCACACTGAAACCACCCGCCTCTTCACTTGCCCTGACCCCTCCATTACTTTTGATGCCTAGCCCTTTCCTCCATTCCAAAACCCACCCAGTAGCCCACGTCCTGAATCCAGGGCCCCAACAGGCCTGGACTGCAGAGTCCCAGCCTGGGGTTTCCTGTCCTCTGCACCATCCTCCAGGTACCCCACCTGAGAGGGCACCAGGTTGAGCGCTGCTGCTTTCACTGCTGCACCAATGCCCCCAGCTGGCCCCCCCGAGCAGCGTCTACTCTGCTTTCTTAGGGCCAGGAGCAGCCCTGACCCTCAGGGAGGCTGGGCTGGGCTGGGCTGGGCTGACTGGCCTGGACATTTGCACCCGCCCCCGTGCTGCCAGGTGCTGGCTGTAGCTACAAATTAAAAACATTGTTTTCCAGACATCTTAGCAATTGACTTTTTTTGTGCTACTGCCCTCAAGGGAGGGATGGAGGAGACAGGGGGGTGGGGGGAGGAAAAAACCAGGGGTACAGGTGAAAACTCAGCTCCTGTTTATTTACAAAAATATATATGTATATGTATATATATATATGTATATATATATATAATGTATATATATTAAACCCTTCCCCAGCTCCCTCCCACAATTACCTTTTTACTTCTACCCCCACGTCCCTTTTTAAAACAAATAGGCTCCCAGGCTCCAGAGGCCAGTTCGTCAGGGAAGAGGAGGCAGGAGACGCAAGCACCAAGGCCTGGGGGGGCTGAGGGAGGGGGCATGAGTGACCATGGCCCCATCTTTGCTCCCTGAGGACAGTGTTGGGGGGAAGGGACGGCTCAGTCCTTGAATCCCTGAATACTGCAAAGAATACGCTTCTGGTGTCCTGGCAGCGTGATCCCCATCTGCACCAGGTCCCTGTGGGCAAGCAAAGGGGTCATGAGTGTGTGAGCTCAATCCTAGCAGCCCTCCCCTGCCCGGCCCCCAGAGTCCTCACTCGGCCGTCAGCTCTAGCACACACTCCATGGTGTCCAGCCCGGCTGAGCGGAAGTGCAAAATGTAGCGTTTCATGCGGATGGACTCCAGCCACTCAGGGACACTTCGATAGGGGATCCCATCTGAGCCACTCAAGCTGGGCAGGCGCAGGGTCACCCTGTGAGGACATGGGCTACCTCAGTCACACTGGAAATGCAAGCAGGGGCTGTCTTGGGCCTTCCCATGCCCAGCCCAGCCCACCCACCAGCGTTCCTGAGAACCCGGGGCTCAGCCTGTGAGCATGGCAGCCAAAATGGAATTTGGTGTCTGAGCAAAGAGATTATCTAGACTTTGTGGATTAGCCCGGCTATTGTCTGTGAGCCCATTTCCTGGCCTACTTCCTGGCATGCTCACAACAGTGGGCAGGCTGACAGTCTGGCTACACTGATAGACCTGGAGGAGGTGGCTGCCCTGAAAGCCCCAACACAAGCATACCACAAGCCCATCTGCACTAGAATTGCCAGTTAAGCTACAAAAGCATCCACCATCCCCACTGAGAGGAAGCAGAAGGCAAGAGAGCAGAGCTCCAGAAGCCAGGGGTGGTCCTGCCTCGTTTTAGGGTGGCCCGTTGACTTCTGGGAGCAGCCCCTTGCTTGCCACCTCCAACCTTGGCTGTTATTCTTGCTCTCTGACACCTACAATACAATGAGTGTTCCTGTACTCAAGCCAGCCAGAGCCAAAAACCATTAGCAAAGTAAATCTGCTGGGGGAAAAAAAACATCCAACATTCCAAAAAGATTAGCACATGCAGTCTCCAGTGTACAAGGGAGTTGTGCTCCAAAAGATAGTTTCAAAAGTTGGACCTTGGAGCACATTTTCTCTCAGAAACAAGGTTATATATGGTGGTTTGATACGGAAGCCAGCTCACCAGGGCTGGTTTAGCCGATCAAGCATTTGAAGCCCAGCCTCCTCTGTCTTCCCCCGCCTCAACGCCACCACCAGTTCCTTCTCCACATCCTGGCAATATTTTTGGTAAAACGCAATTCTGAACGTGTACCTCCCATGACCAGCTTTTAAAAATTGGTTAATAGCTCCCTGTGCTCAATAAAGCCCAACCTTCTCAGCAGAGCTGGTTCTCCTTGTACTGACCCTGCCACCTCTCCACCTTCATCTCTGGCCACGGCCCCTGAAGTGGGTGCTGCCGTCACCCTGCTATTTGCAATCAGCCTGCCCTCAGTTCCCCAACCCATGCTGGCCACGTGATCTGGGAGCCTTCCCAGACCCCACAAGGCTGCTCCCCTGTCATGATGGACATCCCACTGTCCATCACTTGCCAGGCTCTCTGTCTTCCTCACTCCAATCTAAGCATCCAAGCTCCCTGGGGCAGGTATCAGCTTGTAAGCCCTGCTGCTATCTGCTTTCCATCTCAGTGTTTGCTTCCTATCTTCTATCAAACTTGAGCTGCCCAGGGCAGGAGAGCACCTCTTCCATCAGGGCGGACTCTCCCCGAGGGTGCAGGCTGTGGTCCTGCCTCATATGCTGGACTCCGTCCGGAGCTCTGCAGGCCCTCCCCCTAGTGGACACGACCGAATGCCCATTTGCCGTCTCCCAGGTCTGCCCTCCAAATCCCCTTGCCCTCCCCAGCACAGTTACTTGGGATCGAAGTTGGCAATAGTCCGCAGGCAGTGGGGCTTGGCAAGCAGCTGCTCTAGATGTGCCTTCAGCTGGTGGAAGGGGGGCCGACGGGCACAGTCATAGGCCCAGCAGTTCTTCATGAGTTCATAGAGAGGGGCAGGGCAGTCCACGGGAGGGGGCAGGCGGTACCCATCCTCAATGCTCTTCATTACCTGCAGCAGGGCAGGGGAGGGAGGCCCGAGGTAGGAAGCTAACGTGGGGGCCCACAGCTAATTACTGTTCACGCAAGATCATTGCAATGGAGCCTCTAAACCTCCCAACCGGTAGTTCACAGAATAGGGCGTGAGGCGAAGGGGACCAGAGGAGACAGAAGGGCAGAAGAGCTGTGGGTCAGGAAGAAGAAACAAGGCTGCGTGCAGGAAAGAGCCATGAGAGGATGTGGGGGGCAGGTTGGCGTGAGGAGTGCAGGCTCACCTCCTGGTTACTCATCTCCCCGTAGGGCTTGTCCCCAAAGCTCAGCACCTCCCACATCACAATCCCAAAGCTCCACACGTCGCTGGCTGTGGTGAAGATCCTCTGGGCAATGGCTTCAGGGGCAGTCCATCGGATGGGGATCTTTCCTCCCTAGCAGGGCACGTGGGACAGAAAGGTGGTGTGTTTCAGGGCACGGAGGAAGGGTGAGAGAAACACCCGTGGGAAAGGGATGGGAAGTCATCGTGTCCATAGGAGAATGCATCCCACACTCACTGTGCACGTGCGCCCGCAGGTGTGGCATGAATTGTGGTGTGAATGTGTATGCGGTGAGCACGGGACTCTCACCTGGGTTTCGTAGGTGCCATCAAAGTTGTCCAGGAGGCGGGTCAGGCCGAAGTCAGACACCTTGCAGCACAGGCTCTGACTCACTAAGATGTTCCTGGCGGCCAGGTCCCGGTGGACGTAACTGTGGTCACTGAGGTAGTTCATGCCAGATGCAATGCCCAGCAGCATGGCCACCAGCTGTCCTGGCACCAGCTGGTCTTCCCGCTCCTGCCGCAGGGTGAGTGGGCGGGTTAGGGGGTGGGCAGGGTCGTCTCTTCCGGGACCAGGAGCTAATACCCAGGGGTCCGTGATGCATCCCCCCTCCCAGCTGGTCCTCTGTCCTCCTCACCCTCAGAAAGGCATCCAGAGCTCCGTTCTCCATAAACTCGGTGACGATCATGATGGGTTTTCCTGAGACACAAAGCGTATGTCACCATGGCAGCCTCTACCCCATCTCCACCCAGAACCACCAGAACCAAGCCTCCTGCCCTTGGCAACACATCTCCCCTCCACGTCCAGTGGCTCACCCCGTCTTTCCCCGACCCCACACGCCTCAAGCCCACGCCTCATACTCTTTGTGACAACGCCTTCCAGGTGCAGAATATGAGGGTGGTTAAACTGGCCCATGATTGTTGCCTCTCGAAGGAAGTTCCACCACTGGCCATCTGGAGATGTGTCCTTCAAGGTCTTGATGGCCACTGTCTTGCTGTCCTGGTTGGGGATTCTCAGGGTCCCTTGATACACTTCCCCAAACTCTCCTAGGGGGAAAAGAAAACAAGGTCATAGCTCAATGCACTGTCAGGTTCCCGGCCACCCCCAACCCCAGGGGACAGGCAGCGATACCCTCCAGGGCCCCAGGTCTCTTTTCTTCTCTGGATCAGAAACCTGGCTTGCCCTTTGTGGGACAAGAGCTAGGCTGTACTTCCCAGGGAAGGGGACAGGACTCTGGGACAGGAGTGCAGCTCTGGAACCTGCTCAGCACTGCCTCTAGGGTAGCACAGTTCTTGGCTAACAGTGGGTGCTCAGTAAATGCTGAGTGAGTGGATGCTAGGCGGTGGCACTGGGGCGTGTTCACGGAGGGCAGACTGGTCCTGGGCCAGCACACAAATGACTGGGGAGGCTGACCATAGCTGCCTCTCTTCCGCAAGTTCCTCTGGTCACAGCTTGGCTGGCTTGGCCACACAATCAGCAAGGACACTGCCAAGCTCTGTTCTCTCCTCAGATCCATTTCCCCTGGTGACCCAAGGATCAGGGCAGCCCAAGGACACTGGGCCCTGATGGGGTGGAATGTGGGGTGAGGGAGGCTCTGAGACTCTCCCACGTTTGGGAACTAGCTGAGAAGAGCCTGAGCCTGGGCGCAGCGGCCGACAATTGACAAAGGTGATGTGTTTAATGCTCTTTATCAGAAACTCCGTAACCACAGGAGCAGATTGTGTATGAGACGGGGGCTACTCCAGGACACTCGATAAGTGGGCTATAACAATGACCACAGCAGTTCAAGGAGGAGACAGGGTCGAGCAGAGAGGAAACTCATCTGGGAGGTCCTGGACCAGAGCAAAGGCAGCTGGGCTTTGCAGGGAAGGGGCGGGAGGAAGCGGCTGGCTGGCTGGCAGCTCTGTGTGGCCACACAGAAGGACCAGCAGGGCTCACCTTCCCCTATGACCGTGTCCACGATCAGCCAGGCTGGATCGAGCTCCTGGGTGAACTCCAGCGCTCCCTGGGCAGGGTCCTCATACGCCTGGAGGTCCACATAAGGCTTCAGCCACAGCTTGTCCTCTGCGGGGAGAGGAGGAAAGGCTCAGCCACAGGAGCCCCAACTTCAGGGCTCAGGAGTAACGGGGGGGAGGGGCCGGCAGCAGACCTCGGACTTGTCAGCCTGCTGTTCCCTGGGGAGTCCTGTTTTGGCTGAAGTGGGAGAAAGTCTCTATCCTCAGCAACAAAGCCTCCACAGCCAGCTCTTCCTCCTCCTGTCTATGCCCAAAGCTCCCGCCTCCTCACCCCCCAGCCAGAGCAGTGGGCCAGAACCCAGACCCAA